ATTTGCTCGACAAATTTCGTTTCGTATTCTAACTTCCGATGTGAAGTAAATGACTATGAAATTGTAGAATCGTGTTGTATGAGTTACGAAATGAAAAAAAAAAAAAAAAAAAAAAAATGAGAAAGTTAAATCACGAAAGAGAAAAAATTTATACTTAATGATATTTAGCCCCCCATAAGAAAAAAAGATTATAGTATCACCTTTTTGAAGAAAATATTCAATTATATTCTAAAATACAATTTATATTTTTCCAATATACAATATTATTCGATCCATGTGAAACGAATTTTAAATCATTTAAGTTAAATTATATTTCATTTAGAATCAAATATTCTTCCTGCAAATATATCGAATCGATATATCAATTTGAAAGTTTAACAAATTCCTAAAAATAAGTTTCCTAGTGTGCATGATAATTTTCAAACAAATATCAACATTTCCAACTATCGTATACATTCTATAATATCTCGAAATTAAACTGCTACTTCTTCTTCTTCTTTTTTACTTTGTTCTTTTTTATTATGATTATTAATTATTTTCTTGTTTGCACAAGAAAAATTTGAAATTCAAATTTCCACGACCGAAGAGTAAAGGACTAGAAAATTATAAAAGCGATATTATCTGTTATCGCTTTGTATGAAATAAATTCAACGAAAACAAAAGAAAAACAGAAGAATAAATAAAAACATGAAAAAGAAAATGGACGAGGAAAAAGAAAAAGAAGGTAAAATAGGAATAATAATAATAAGAAACGAAGAAACAAAAGGCATAAATCTATCGAGGAAACGATAACGTTAAATGTGTACACGGGGGCCGATTACGAACGGCACATTATTCTCGCTTTTCTCCTGGGAAAGTTAACGCATCTAGCGTGTTAATTATAATGAGCGTTAAGTAACCGCTCGCGCGTTCACCTCCGTTGTGTTGTGTGTTGTTATATGGCCATTCGCCATTATCGTTTGTATCCATAGCATTCGCGTTTGAGTGTCGGTAGGTAACGCAAGAAAATCGTATCGTGCGCAGAACACAGTCCATTTCAGTTCAGTAACTGCGTCGCATCGGTGAAAGCAGTTTACAGGCTTATTACTTATCAAGATGAACCACGTTAACGGGCTAACAGACGAGAAATCATATCATATATACATTTTGTCTAACCTAACTTTTTATCCGAAACACGACAGATCCTCATCGTTGCATTTGTGGACCCCGTTTACGCGGGAAATGTCAATCGACCAATAGCATCGTTTAACGTTTACAAAATGGCTACTAAGTTTCATTCGTATCATATAGGTTCATTTTATAATATTAAAAGTGATTGATTAAACAGTAAGGACACTAAAAAGCTTCTGTATAGGACCCTAAAGAAATCGAGAACAACTGTATCATATTTTTTCTAAGTTTTGCAATAGTTTACATAGACATTTTTAAAACGCGGACTACTGTAAGAAAAAATTAATATTGAAAATAATCCGACATTAAATGCTTGCTGTTTTGAGGAAACCAAACAAGTTCTGCTACACCAAATATATATAATATAATATCTTTTTATAATTTTCTTCGTTCGCCATATCACCCCCTAAACAACTCTCCCAATTTTTATTGTATTTTTCATATTGTTTTCTTTTCTTACTTGTCTTTTTGGTTTTTTTTTTTTTAATGCATATCCATCTTCACGGGGTATGCACGACCGGCCTCGATTTCTTTCTAACACCACCAGGACGTATATAAAAACGTAAGCACTTACAAGAGGAGCCGATTATTCCAGGTGATTACCGATTTCCGACCAGTTAACGACTTTTTCGATCGTTTACATTGGCCGGCAAGCTCCGTCGCTTATTACGAGTCATTACTGTGAATATCTCGCTCGTTGCCTTTGGATTTCACGCCTCGAATCGGCATCGATCCGCTGCGCCGGCTGCGCCGTACGCCTCGAAAATTGAGGTCGAAAGATTCTTCAGGTCTCTCTTCTCTTCTCTTCTCTTCTTCTTTTCTCTCACTCTCTCTTTCTCTCGATATGTATAATACCTGTGCCTGTGTACGTGTGTGCACCTATGACGAATCGTAAGAGTCACGAGAAAATTCGAAAGATAGTTTAATGTAAAAAAAAAAACAAATGGTTACTTGCCTCTTTTACAATTCTTTCATTTTAATAGGATACCCCCTGAGTGTTGGGTATTATTCTATCTCTCGGATTCATTTATTTATTACAATTACAATTTCTAATTGAATAATTTTATAAGATTTCAACACGTCGAACTTGTAAATTATTAAACAGAGTGTTTGTTTGTTTTTTTTTAATATTATATTATACAATTAATCAAATTTAATTCTTTTAAATATCCCGAACATGTGTGACTTACAATTAGAATACTTTCATAATATTATAGGACTCCCACATTAAGTATATAGATTTTAATTAATCGTGTAAAATATCACGAGATATTTGATTTTTGTAAGATTTCGAATAAGTCCTTGACGTGAATCACGTTAGATTAGATTAGTGTTACAGTTTTAGATTAACACACGTTGCAAAAATTGACACGTCAATTTATAATAATTTTGTAAAAAAGTTTTAAACTTTACGTGTCCACGTTTATTCTGTTTAAATATAAATCTACGTTGAAAGTGTGTGGTTCGCGTTTGTAAATTGTGACATATAGTACGTGAAAATAACGAGATATATATATACCGTGGTAAAATGAGAAAAGTAAAAGAGTAAACGCGCGCGCGAAAAAGGGTGTGATAGGTGCTATAGCTTCTTCGCACGCGAGGCCAATAAAACGTTTCTTCCACATGCTGTTATTCTTTAACTTCTACGAAAGTTACGAACGATCAGCCGGATTTTTTTTAATACGTTTCCGCAATAGTTTCTCGATCGATCGTGTCAAAATTAACGGTGCTAGGATAAACGTAATAGGGGGGGGACCCTCAAAGATCTATGATTTTCTTAAAAAGGTATATTATTTTCAATAATCATTCAAACATACGAATCCTTCTTTTTCTTTTTGAACAATCAATATTTAAAACCCTTTTTTGTCTTGCAACAAATCCTACTAAACTCGTGATCAAACATTTGTACCCAAAACTATAAACACTAAGGTGCATGAATTCTCGTGATACTTTTTAACCTATAAACCTTTCTACATTTTAATCCTTATTCGAGAAAGAAAAACAATTTTTCCTTTTCATAAAAAATAAAAAATCCCACGATTGTGTTCAGCGAACGAACACGAGGAATGAAAACGAAGAGTATAGTTAAGCGAATAAGATTCGAACGAGTCAAACCAGGATTATCCTAATCGTACGGTTCATTATGCTTTCTTCAACCCCGTCGTCCTTCCCCACCCCTCCTCAGCCCTATTATTCTCCTATTCCTTGCTGCCTTTCCTTCCCCACCTTTCCTCTTTTCTTCCCCCACCTAAGAGACACCCTTCTTCTTGTCTCTTAGGAACGTGCACGCGCGCACGTTGAAAGCTTCAAACGTGCGATGACTATGACCGATGCCGAGAACCCCACGACGAATTGCTATGCGCATTACGAATAAATATCGTACTATTCGCTTCTCTAATGCCTGCCTCCGTGCCGCGCAGATGACCACTTGGGTGGGTTTCGAAAATGCATCGACGACGAAGACGAACAACAAGAAGAAGAAGAAGAAGATAAAGTTCTGACGAAGAAGAAGAAGAAGAAGAAGAAGAAGAAGAAGAGAATGTCTTCGTACGATTAAATTGATTTTCTAATCTTTTTTTTCCTCTCTCTCTTTCTCTTTCTCTTCTTACCCTTACCCTCCTGCCGCCTTTCCCCCACACCCCGTTGCACTGTTCATTTTAACTCTTTCTTTTTCCACAACACATAATATTCATACGAATTACGCGGAAATAGAGATGAGTAAAAGATATAAATAAATAAAATGGATTTACGTAACCTTTATATCCAGCGAGACGATCGATCACTGCTTACAACTTAACGGGTTTAAGAATTTTTTAGAAAGACATTTCTAATCTTGGTAGTAGAACCAATCAAAGTTTCGATACTTACGAATAGACGTAAAAAAGGGAAAAGGGAAGACAATAAAAACAATAAACTTTGTGTGTGAGAGATATATAAAAGTAGGTGATGACGACTTTGTGTATGTGAGTATGTGAGAAAGATTTCGTTCCAACAATGGGGGGAGGAAGAATAAGAATAAGAAGAAGAAGAAGAACTTGAACCCAACTACGATAATGACCGCTAATTTGATGCGCGCGAATAAGAAGGAAAGTAGTTCGAAGGATGGGGACGAATAATAATCGTCGCAAACGAAAATCGTAGCATGAACGAGTGAGACTCAGACTCAGACTCAGACTCGACGTTTGCCATCCTCGAAGAAGAAGAAGAAGAAGAAGAAGAAGATGAAGTAGAAGAAGAAGAAGAAGATGGCCACGATTCCATGGCTCTCATTCTCATCTATCTTCCAGCACGTTGGTAGCGAAGAAAGAAGGCATAATTAAATTAAATTAAGCTCCCTCCTCTCCTCTCTTTCTCTTTCTTTCTCTTTTTGTTTATTTCTTTCCTCATACTCTCTTCTTCTTCTTCTTCTTCTTCATACTTTCCTTCTTCGTTCCTCTCTTTCACCTTTCTGCCCTATCTTCTTCTTCTTCTTCTACTTCTTCTACTTCTTCTTCTTCGTATTCCTTCCTTCCTTCCTTCCCTTTCTATCTTTCTTTTCCTACCGGCGGCGATAGTCCGCACCCGATGCCATGCCGCCTTTATTTGCAAGCAATTTGCGCCCCTGGATCGGCCTGCAAAAAATCTCAAAATAATGCCCGAGTATTAATCATATTCCCCTCTCGAACCAGGGCCCCCTTCCATCCTCATCCTTCTCTTCCTTTTCTTTTTCTTCTTCTTCTTCTTACTCTTCTTCTTCCGCCATGTTTTCGTAGCTCGAACCAACCAACCAGCCTTCTGTTTCTATCTCTCTCTCTGGTAAAACTGTATATTCTTCTTCTTCTTCTTCTTAGTTTCTCTGTCCTTATCTCAGAACGTCCATTCTTCCATGCCGCGTACTTTCGTCCTCCTATGATTATACGTTATTCTCTACCCTACGTGTGTATGTGTGTGTTAGAGTTAAAGTACTAGAAGTCTCTTAAAGTTGTAATCATATTGCCGAGTAGGGTACAACACGTTGATAGATTCTATTTTTGTAATTAATGCCTCGGGGAGCGATTCATTTACAATGTTACTACAGGGCTCCTTCTCACACCGCTTTTGATACATCGTCTAAATGAATTTCCTCTTAATGCGAAAACCGTCGGAAGAGAGTCTCTTATGACTTATATTACGTTAACTCGATATATCATACAACAAAATGATTATCTTCGTTGTACAAATGTTTAAACTCTCTTTAAACATTCTTAGAAATATATATATGTGTCTATGTATGTGTGTGCATGTGTGTGTTTAATAAAAATTGTTAAGATTTAAATTTTCTTCGGTTTTTTTAGAGCTGGTAAACCACTGTCGTATTCGGACACGTTCAACATCCTAACTTTCTTCAAAATTCCTGTATTACGGTGGACGCCATCTTGTTTCCCTTGAGTCTTCCGATCAGGCCTGAAACAATCAAGAATAACGATTCCTTAATCGTTCTATTTTACCTAACCCACAATTTTCTTTAATTCGACAACGACGACGTGGGGCGTGGACAGCGCGAACGTAATCGAAAATTGATAAGAAAAAAATCGGACTCGCTTTAAAATGTACAAGGATACACACAACATATTACCTTTCTTTTTGTTCACACAAGTTACGAATATGGTAGGGGCAAGAAAATATCCTATAGTCTGACAAAAAGGTAATAAAAACGAGTAAAAAAGATTCTCTTCTCAACTGCCGTACCGAATTTCGCGTTTGTCACCATTTCTTTGTGAACTCGACGTACCGTAACCGTGAATTCTTAAGTATTTCAAAGAGTAGTAAACATAAATCATATATGTAATAGTACTATAATGTCATTCTCCATAAGTGGAAGATCCATCAATGATATGAGACCAAAAAAAGTTACTTTATTCGTTTCAGTTTTATTTTTTTTTGGAAAAATATACGGAACGGAAGATAATTAAATATGAAATTCAATTGCACGATCTTGTAATTGAAACTTATAAAAAATAAGATTATAAAATATAAATCAAATTGTTCAAAATAATCTTTATAAAATATTTAAACGTATCAATATAATAAATTAATAAATTATCTCATGCATATAAGTACGATATCGTATTTTTATTAAAAGAAAACAAAACAAGAGAGAAAAATGAATATAAATTAAAAGATAGGAACAAAAATGTGATTGATAGTATCTAGAAGAAAAAAAATATTAAATTGTCGCACATTTATCTTTTTCTCGACCCCCAATATAAATTACTATATAATAATAATAATAATACTATTACCAACGCGTACGTGTGATATAAATATAAAAGATCATCGCCCATCTTGTCGGAAGACGAAAAACCTAAGAGGAGAAAACCGATACGAAAACGAAACAGAACTCGTTCTTCTTTATTAGGATCGATTCGCGTCATGGGAGACGGTCAATCTAAAGCTGACGACAACTACAACTACAACTACAACTACAACTACAATTACAATTACAATTACAACTACAATTACAACGACGATACAACTACTAACGAATACAAACGTGAAAGCAAGCGTACGCGAATTAGAACGCATACACATCGTCTATTCTATTCTATTCTATAGTTTAAGGGAGAGGTGTGTGTGTGTGTGTGTGTGTGCGCGCGCGAGCGCAGAAACGAGCGTAATCGTAGCCACAGAGGCGTACACCATGGGGTCTCTCGATTCATTGGACCGTCGGGTTGGTGCCCGCCTTTCACCCATTAAAACTTGGCTCTCACTCACTCACTCACACAAACACCCGCTCTCTCTCTCTCTTTCTTTCTTTCTAACTGGCTGAAGGGTACTTGGCTTGCTTACCAAAAGCACGCCCATTGAAAATACATTAAAACACATTAAATATCCTTCTTAAACGATAAAAACTTAGATTATCAAAAATTACTTGTGTATCGGATTTGTTAATGATTCAAATAAAGAATTGAAAAAAAAAAAAAAAAAGGAAAGAGATAGAACTAATTAAATGAAGAAGAAACATAGAAATGAAGATGATACAATGGTTATTAAACGTTTTGATGAAAGACCTAAATGAAGTTGGAAATAAGGCGGATTATTCCATGGTTTCCGTAAATGGTATAGAGAAACAGTGACGCCGGAAATGACGGTGGGCTCGCATCAGTCTGTTTAATAGCCGTATTGTATAATTATGAACAATAGAACGACAGATAGATAGAGAAGGTGAATTAAAGAGAAACAAGGATGTGAACAAACAAGATAGTGGAGGCATGATGCTTGTTGCTGGAGAAGGGCAAAAGCCGGTTGAACGTTATACGAGAAACGCATACACTTGTATAGAGAGAAAGAGAGAGAGAGAGAAATAGAGTGTGTAGATTCGAGAGTAACGGAGATATGGGGTGAGGATGAGGGTAAGGGTGAGGAAGGGGGTTGGGAAACGAAATAGCGAGGACAAGCACGATGAGAGAGGCGTATAGTACCAGCTTATGGTCTGGCAGCCACCGTAGAACACGTCCGTCCGTTCTTCGTATATGACGAATGACAGAACGCGACAGTTTTGACGTGAACAATCTCTCTCTAGGAATCCCCGCGTTATGCGTACGCGTTCTACGTGTCGCACACGACGACATATTTGTTCTCTGTCTGGTCCCTCACCCACTCTCGCTAACTACGTGAATATCACGGTTATCACGCTAAGCCACGCGTGAATCCGTCATTAATACCCATTTCTATCTATTCTCGTCTCCCACACATTCTAACATTCTAGAATACCGTTAGCAGCAATTTTTAACGATTAAATATATTATATGTTGACATTTATAAAGAATTAAAGAAGATATTTGACGTTAACATCGATTGGATACTCATTAATCGGTTGATGAGTGTTATTCAGCACTTTTGTTTTAGGTGCCGACTATAGTCGTCGGTACCACTATAAAACGATTCAATACTTTATCTTCTATTGACTCCGTATTTGATTAATTTTACTGAAAATATATTTTTAAGGCACGTAATATATTCTGAACATCATAAACAAGTCGTCTAAGGAAAAAATGCAGAAAAAAAACCGAAAACTACCGACTTGCAATGTGAACACACTTTTCAGTGGCACTACTTCTTCGGCTGAGCGAACTGTCGTAACGAATGGGTTAATTTAATACAAAATTTCTAATAGTTTTAATGAATATTCCTATAACTCACCGATCGATGGTAAGTCTATTGTTGGGTTGAACTTTGGTTTCCTGTTCGCACAATTTCTTTCCGATTCCACCGATTTGTTGAGGTCTATCACTTAAGCCAAAACTTTTCGCATAATGGCCCAAATGTAATTCCTTTCGATTGAATATTTCTCGCATGTCGTGCGGATACGACGAATAAAAACGCATCCAGGAAACGTATGCTGAAACCAAAAAAAAAACAAAATAATATTTTAATATATTATTTAAACATTTAAACACACACACATTTGTATAAGATTGTTAGATTTAGAAAAGAGTAGAAAAATTCGAAAAATAAACTTTTCATATGAGAAGTTTCACAAAATAATGAACAAATATGTTTATTAAAACTGTCGAACCAATGTTATAAATCGTAAATTACGTATATATGGGATAGGTGGGATAGAATTTCGATGCAATGATTACTTATACCATATACATACACCTAATACACTGGTATTAATCGTCCTTCCATTAAGACGATGGGGCTGGCCAAGTATACGATTCTATGGGGTATACGTGTGTCCCTTCGCGAGCTATTACGAAGCATTAACAGGGGTCGAGTCAAGTGCTGTAGCTAATAGTCACCCCCCATCCCCAACCCCCACTCTCACTTCTCTCTCTCTATCTCTCTCTTTTCGTATCTCTAGCTTCCGTACCATGGGTGAGAAACTCTGGGGTTCTCAGGTCCTGAGAGAATTCGACATGTGCGAGTGTACCCTGTTACTATGTCGTACCGTACTAAAATCTTTTCACCATGAAGTCCCTTGGAGATCGTTCGATTTTGTTTTTTTTTATTTATAATAATAAGAAAAACTAAGCAGAATCTTAGGTAATTTATTTCGAATTTTAATTAATCATAAAATATATTCCGTGTTTCTATATATTTTACAATTAGATTGAAATGTTTGGTAATAAATCAATCAAATTTATGCACGCGAATTAAATTGGACATTATATTTTTCTATTATTATATAGAAGTATATAAAATATTTAAATATATCACACAATTAATTAAATTATACTATAAATGATTACTTTATCAATTTCATATCGTATATAAATATAAACGTATTTATATTTAATATTTGTATAAATACAAAAAAATGATATATTATATAAAAATTTTGAATTTCGATAATTTGTTGAAAGGGACCTTATGCCTGGACATTTTCCGCCCTGATTTCTTACTACTTTTTGCCTTGACTTGTCTTCTTCAAGTAAAAACCAAGTAGAAAGATCTTTCCATTTGGTTCGAAGTCGACGTTGAAAAGGGAGAAATGTTTTTCTCCATTTAGCGCATAAATCTTACAATGCTGCTGCTGTTGCTGCTGCTGCTGCTGTTGTGTGGTACCCAGAAGAAAACGAGAGAGAGAGAGAGAAAGAGAGAAAAAGAAAGAGTGGGAAGAATGTAAGAAGAAGAACGAGAGGGGTGAACGTAAGAGCGAGCACCGTGCACAGGGTGGTGGCATTGTTCCTAAGTGATGTAACTGCGTCTTATTGTATTTGTATCCTGTATCGTATTGTTAAGAGTCTCTCGCCACAAAGCGTAAGTGGTTTTGGCGGAAGCCACATTCAGTGGTTGGATTGTGTCGGCCACCCCCTCTGAAAGGCACATGAACTACCTAAACCAAATTCGATCTAACTCAAAAACACTCAAACCTATACTTATATACTAAAGTCTAAAGTTATTCAATTATAATAAACGAGAATGATATACAATTTATATTATTAATAATTATAATATCGAATTATAAAAATATATATATATATACATATGTATATTAATTATTATTGATTCAATTATGTATATCAATTTTTACGATTTGATCGAAATAATATTAAAAAAAAAAAACAAAAAAAATATGTAAAAAAAAGCTAATAAATAATTATTCAACAAAGTTTTTAAATAAAGAAAAAACAAAACATTTGTAAAGAATTTGAAATAGGAGTTATGTCGAAGAGGGTGTAGCTTGAGTGGCACTGTTGGAAGGGGGTGATATATATATATATATATATAGGTGGGACGGAATGGATGAATCCCTTAGCTTAGTGGCGAGGGTTGAGAACACAAGGGGGTTGTTCTCGCTATTGAGAGCCGTTCGGCTCTATTGGGGTGATAATGTTACGAATTAGTGAGATTTCCACTTCCCCCTCGTGTACTAGAAAGAGAGAGAGAAAGATAGCCCTTCACCTCAGCCTTAGTCAGGAATTAAATAAATTCGGTAGGTAGCGTAAAAAGCCAGGAAATGGCCATACTATACATCATTATTCTTTACTTTCGCATGCTGCTTTTCTACTCTTTCTTTTTTTTTTTTTATCACTTTATCTCTATTACTATCATTCCTTCTAACATCTATGCGATCTTTCATATTTTGAAGTTACACTTCTTTTTTTGGACATAGTTGGGAACAAAATGATGAGAATGAATTTTTACGATACGCGTGCACAGCGTCAAAAAATTAATAGGATGAAGTTAGTCTCGGTATTTACGATGCGCGCGCACTACGATATGAAATTAACGACATGAAGTTAGTCGCGAAAAGATAACGCGCGTATAATTTCTTTTACGTGCATACATAAGTACACACACCCGTGTTCTTTTTTTGTTTTCTTTTGTACAACAAAGAAATATAAATGACGAGTATAACCCCATGATTAATTTAAAACAAAAAAACACAATCTTATTAAATAATTAATAATCCCGATGATTGTATACTTCTATTATCCTAACTTTATCAACTCGATAACGTTGCAACTATTTCAATCGATGCAAAGAAGAGAGTACGGCGCGAAAAGTACAACAACAACAACAACAACAACGGCAAAGGGGTCGAGAGAGTAACGTAAGCAATTAATCTATCAATCACCGGGGTACGTGCGTAGGAACGGTCAAGTGGTTAGCTGTGTACCGTCACTCAAATCCGAAATGGCTAAGCGCTCAAAAACCGTGGCTAACCTTCGTGTAAAGCCACGCTTGATGCCGAACAAGTTCCGAAGGTACGGTTCCGTTAAGTAAAGTAAAAAGATTTATGACCCTTCTTCTTCTACTATTCCTCTTAACCCCCCCCATCGCCTTTTCTTTCGAAAGCTTCATCTCGTTGAGCCGATTAACTTCGTCTTATGCGGACGACGACACTTGATATTACTTTTTCGAATATTCGAAAATGTCAAAGGGATAATAATATTTGCAAGTAACGTTTTATCGATAAAAATATATAACTGAATGGTGGATAAAAGATAAAGAAGGAGGTAAGTTTTATCCTTACAGAGAGATATACATTATTCGCGACAACGAACATGGCTCGTGAACGATTCAATCGATCATCGATGAGATGCGAATATAAAAGGAAAGGCAAAGAAAGAGAGAGAGAGAGAGAGAGTAGGAACTAAGGGTAAGGGGATAAGGGAAAAGGAAAGGCTGAAGCAGTAAAATGAGGGAAACATCTTCGTTTCGCAGGGAAAACGATGCCCCCGCACATAGGGGGTGAGAGTGGGGATGGGGGTTTCGGGTGGAAGTAGTGGGGAACACCCTGAGTTAGGTTCCCCTTTTCGAACCAATTCGAATCGTAGCATCTTAATGGATTTATTATTGCAGCCAGTAAATTCTTTCTCGTAACAACCCTAATAGAGTAAGCATGGCATGGCAAACAAGATCATCCCTCCTCGTCTATAGACTATGTAAATATCTGAGTGGCAGGAGAGAAGCAGAAAAGAGACCGAGACATAGCTGGTGGAGAAGAGTGGTAACAGAGAGTGAAGAACCCCCCCTCATAGCGCAGTCGTATAAGAGTTACTTTATATGCGAATAGGGTGCTCACTGGAATTGGTTTACTCTACCCTGAAGTCAGCTCGCTTTCGTTCCAATCCAACTGAATCAGAGTAGGTGTTCCCTCATCCTTCGTAGATCCTCTTCACTAGCTCGTGTTCCGCGAACAGGGAGATAAAGGAAATCGTGTTAAACGGACTACCGTGTGAGTTGTTACGTGTTACGAACACGTGTTACCTTTTCTACTTTACAGTTTATCCTACGAGAATTTCCTTCGAGTTCTATTAAGTCAAAGGTTATATACTTTTCGCTAGATTTTTAACGGAACACCTATCTCTCTATATGTGTGTGTGTGTGTGTGTTTCTGAGTTTAAGAATGAAACAAACAAAAAATGATCAATTTGACATACCTTTGCACGCTTTCCCATGAAGTTTCTTGTCCTCCAAAAGTAAAGCTTCGAATTCTCTCTGAAGAACAATAGCAGCCTCCTGAACTGAACGATACTTGGATAATGGTCCCATCAACTTGCCCAATATCTTGTCCATGTCTACCTGATTAATCCGAATTCTTTTGGATTCGAGCATTCGCACGAATTCAACTTCCGGCGGTGTAAGGAAAATGATGGCCGATCCGGAAGTACCAGCACGTGCCGTACGACCAATTCGATGCACGTAATCCCTAGTTGAAAGTGGTCCCGTGTATTGTACAACGCAATCCACCTTCGGCAAATCCAATCCACGTGCTGCGACGTCCTGATGCGAAATGAAAAATTAATAAAACGTATACACACAGCTGCAAGTTGTTGTTGTTAAAAAAGAACTTCCATTTAAGAGTGGATGATTTTAAGTGATCAAAACCCTACGTCATAAATCGCGTAATTCATGTCTGTCGAATGTCAAATACGTCTCGTTCTTTGACGTATAAGCAAAGAGGTTGTTGACTACGAAGTCAACCTGCCGTGTACAAATACTTTACAAACCGGAGGACCGTGTATTCCTCGTTTTGTAAGAAGGTGAATATGTGAGGAGCACCCGCTGCGGAACCCCAACGGCGAACGTTTGAGCACAGCCCTGATTTCTTGGCCGTTCGGTTGCTCGATGATTTACCGTAATAGAACTACGTAGTGTTCTCCTCAGTTGACGGGGTTCTGAAGAGACTAAATTCACTCTCGTGGCCCACCACGAGCCAACCGATACTTATAGTAGAGAAAAGGGACGAAGACTAAGTCGTCGTCGTCGTGAAGTTTGAAAATTCTCTCTCGCGGCACGATACAAATTTCTTGTTTGTCTTTGCATCGAATTAATTCGGCGCTTGCCTCCAACAGCGACCCCAGTAGAGACCAGGCGCCAGGGTGAAGTAGTACGAGAAAAAAATTCCTACTATCGATAGAGAAATAAATAACATATAGCTAGAGGTATATATATATAGATAGATACAACGATTTCTACCTTTTTGATCATTTTTCATTAATTTATTTTAAATTTGAATAAATTTCTTTCCTCAATTTTTTCAATATTTCTTTCATCTATCCTCTATGAAAATTAATTCTCATTACAAATGACCACGTGTTATGTGTATGTAACTGTTTTCTTACATATTAATTATTACATATTATAAAATAAGATAAAAGATCTAACGTCATGACTCGTTAGGAATTAATTTGACGATCCAATCTCGAATAAAAAAAAAAAAGAAAAAAGAAAAAAAAAACAAACGTAAGTCCATAAGAATAAAGAAGACGCTAGCTACAATTGAGATCGAATAAGGCAGATATTATTATTTGCCACCGTTTTAGATTCTACCAAATGGTATTAACGGTGCTGAATAATAACAGCGGATCGATGATGGCGATTAAGATAAACGATCGTTTAGGAGTCGAAGCACGATCACGGCCCAGGGATATCCAGAATAGATCACCCACTCAAAACATCTCACTCGTATCATATATCACTCTCGGTAGATCCGGATTCACCACCGCTGAGAGCCGCGGAACATTCCCAACCGCGGAACCCCCTCGTGGGCTTTTCAACGTTGAAATTAATAATACTGTCATAAAATCCCCCAGTTGAAGTGACGCCATAAAACGTGGGCGGGTTTCGATCGTACGTCCTCCACCTCGCGTGGTGCATTTCGTCGTACCGCAACTCCCCCGACACGTAATTTTTAATGTCGAACAAAACAAACATAAGTACCCGCCGCCATCGTCTAAGGGGCTAAATGTAAAATTCGCATCTTTATTTTCCCTAGACGCGTGAAAATCTTATTACCGATGATTCTACATATGTAATAATAATAATAATAATAACGTCAAGGAACGAGCTTAAAAATCTGAAAACGTTGTTTGAAAGAGCAAAAAGAAACAAATGAAGAAATTTCTTGACATTTAATTGGATGGCTATAGAACCTTAACGAGGAAACTAAAAAGATAATAACGAAAGTCCGCGACGACGACGATATGATTGCCTGATTCAAGCGAGTTAATTTCGCACGGTGTGAAAACGTCGTCGTAGTGTTGCGTGACCAAGTTAAATTTTTATAATGACGGATCATACGATATCTTGTATGGTTGTTGTTTTTTTTTTTTTGCTTTTTTTGTTTTTTTGTTTTTTTTTTTCTTCTTTATTGTAAAAACCTAACTCGCGCGTCGTACGTTTAATTAATAAGATACGCCAACTTCTTCGTAAACTCGATTAGCGCATCTTGGTGATATAAATTAAAGTGTAAAGTTCACTATTACTACTTTCACCACGAGATAGATAGAGATCATAATGGGACATAAGAGAAAATTGATCCATTGCTTAATTCAAAATTGATCTAACCCGACTAAAAGCGAGATTAATTGTTCGACAAATATAATAAATTGACGTATTTATACATATATATATATATATTGCATATTCGAAAAATTAAAAAGAATAAAATTTCTATACGAACGCATTATAAATTTTTTTAGTGATTCGTCTTGTGATTTCGCGATGGAATTTCTGTTTGGTCGTTATTGGCAAACGAGAATTTACCGATTAATATAGCAGGAGAGAACGGTTAAAGAAATCACTGACACAGAACGAGGCAACGATCATAATTATACTCGTTACGAAGGCCTCGTGTGTGTACACATAATTTTTAACCTGCGGACACAGCGTGGGTCCAAAGATATTAAATTCCGTCCTGAAAGAATAAGCTGCGAGATAATTTACAGCTCTGGGAGTGCCGACGGGTATCTCCACGGCTTTTCTTCCGTTCTTTCTTTCTTTCTTTCTTTCTTTCTTTATCTGGAACCCCCTTTTTCTTTCACTGATATTTTGTATTAACTCCTGCGGTGGCGAAAGCACCGTCATTCTATACTAATACATAATACGTACTACGCGAAACTAATCGTTATGCTTGGGAACGTGTTCGACTTTTAATATCATCCAAATGATTTTCGGTGATCCGATATTCGATTGACAATGATCGACGTTTACGTCAAATTAAAATAGATAATAAATAGACATGAATTTCATTTTCTTTTTCTTTTTCGTAATTTTGTAATTGTGGTACTACCGAAAAACTAATTATAATGGACTTGCAAA